GAGATTAGTTAATGTTTTTAAGCAGGAGGCTAACTTGACTGAATCAGTGGCTGCATGGACACAGGAATAACAAGGGAAAAGTTGATGGGATTTTGCAGCTAAAATTGAGCCTCTTATGAACAGGGTAAAGGAAACCTATGCTGTTCACCTTAGTTTCAGTTGACTGTTTAAGTCAACAGTGTAACATGGCTATCTACCTGTAAGCTAAATTAAGTAAAATATAGTGCTCAAAAAAAAAAAAAGAGGTGATACTTACACTTATGCAGGACCAATCTGGCCATTCCCAGTCAGCATTTTACAAAGGGCACAGATGACTTAGAGCTTGCGTGGAATCTGAGGCGTCTGGATCCTAGGTCTTAGGAGAAATGATTGAATAGACTGAGAATGTTTAGGCTTAGCAGGGATGTGATCGCTGTTATCATGCATTTGGAAGACATATTGTAGAAAAGGGTTTAGGTTGCGTATGTCAGTCTTCCTAACTCCAGAAAAGGAAAGCCAATAAAAAGAAACTACTGGAGATAATTTTCAAATCAAAATATGAGTTTAGTTCCCAAAAGTTAGCATCATAAAAACATGGAGTAGACTGTCTCTTATTTAGATGCTTGCGTAACCTGGATGACTCTTTTGAAAGATTCTGTAGAGTATTGAATCATTTGGTAGGAATTTGTGGCTCTGTGACCCCAGAGGCCCTTTCATTTTAAGAGCCTGTCAAAATAGCCTCTCAGAGGTATTATACAGTTAGAGGCGTATTAGGTTCTTCCTAGCTCTAAAATGCTGAGAACTGTGGAGAAACTTTGTCAAACAGAACACTTCTTTGGGCCTCTACCCCACAATTTATAAAATAAAAATCATTGAACTAAAAATGGTCAACACGATAATTCCCAGTTCAAAAAGATCCAATGAGGGGAAAGAAGAGATTTTATGGTTTGATGGATAAATATGATAAAATATAGTTCCTTTAAACTTTAGATTGGAGAATACTTGAAGTTTTTGAATTTGTTGAAAGGCCATTCTGGTGGGATGTTTTGGTTTTTAATTTTTGAAAGCATTTTTATTAAGTAAAACATTATTAGACAATAAATAACTCACCTAGGTAAGGTAAATGTACCTAGAAAACTGGGTCTACATCTTTTTTGGTATTAGAATAGTCAAGTATATTAAGAAGAGGGGATAGAGTAATTGTCCTGCAAGATACTATTGAGTTTCAGGGTAAGACAATTTCATGAGTTCACAAACCTTATTTTTATTGTTGTTGAAAGTTACCAGGATTTTTTTAGTTGTACTATAAAAGTACAACTTTTTCTTATACAGAAACGTCCTTTTCTGTATAAGAGGAAAGGTAGACATTTGTGACCTGCACTGTTTCTGTTTGTTCTGTTGAGTATGGTTGTGAGTATATAGTAGATAACAAAATATTAATGGAAAAGTGAATGGACTCTTTATAACCTGTTTTCCTCTTTTCTATACTTTAGCCTCACATGCTTAAGCCAGATAAGGCTTCCAGAAGTTAGCTATACACAACGTGTAAAAGGTCAAATTGAATTCATTGTTGACAGTATAAAGAACAGATGTTGTCATAAAATAAGGAAAAGAAAAACTGGCCAGTGACTAATAGCATGAGATTTTGTGAAGTCTGTGTGTATAGAAATAGCAATGGAAAATTTCTACAAAACAACCTATATGACCATGGAATGAAATGTGTGCTTTTGTATTATGGGTGTATGTGGTCTGGTATTTAGTCATAATTGAAAACTACACAGTGATTAATAACTTCTAAGGAATTTTAAAACTTCTGTTGGTATATAAGATATAAACCGTGGCCATTAAAATTCCCATCCATATTTTTCTAGTTTACATTGAAATATAACTTCAAACAAGAACTCTGCTTCAGATTTTTCATTATAACATCACTATTTACACTTTATTGCTGAATGTAAACAAGAATTTATATAACTTAAAGAACATGTTCTGTTGTGAGAGATCTCAAATGCAGCCAAAATAGAGTTCTCTTATTATTGCCAAAAGATCAACAGGCCATGTTTTGAGCATATATATGAAACCATGTATTTTAATCCGATTAAAAACAATAAAACAAGGAAAGGGGCTTTTTTTTTTTTTTAAGCAAAAGGCAAATTCTGCTGTATGGTTTTACAGTTTTAAAGAGAAATTCATTTATTTGTGAATGTTTATTGAGCAACTATTTTGTGCCAGGCAATGTTCTAGATTGTGGGAGTAAAGCAGTGAAAAAAACTGACAGCAATCCCTGCCCTCGTGGAGCTTCCATTCTAGTCAGCGAGACAGATGAAAAACAAGTCACATAGCAGAGTAACCAGTTATAGGCGCTATGGGGAAAGGGAAATAGAGCATGCCCAGTGGGGATGGGGCTGTGAGGTGTGGCAGGGGCTGCAGTCTGGAGTGGGGGGTTGGGGAGAACTTTTCTGAGAATGTGTTATTTGAGTAAAGACATGGAGGGTGGAGGGGAGTAAGTGATGTCCTTATCTGTGTGAAGTTGGCCAGGAGAAGAGGAGAGCGCATGCACGCGCGTATGCCTAATCCTGCTTGAGTGAGGTGCACCCTGGTCCCATGTGTCTGGATAAGCGAGAGTGAGTGGTAGGGAGACCAAGTAGTAGAAGATCAGGTTTGAGGTGGGACACAGGCCTGACTTTGGCTTTTACTTAACGGTGGGGAATCACTGGAGGATTTTAAGTCCAAGAATGACTAATTTATACTTTTTAATGAAAAGAATGCATAGCTGCTTAGTCAACTGTGTTTGGGTTCAGATGATTTGAATTGAGGGGGAGAAGGGGGAGTGGAGGGAGGGAGAGACCAAATAGTTCTTTTGTGTAGAATTGAGAACAACAGTTTAAATAAGTCTCTGCTTATTAAAATTGCTTTGTTAATTTATTTTAATCCAACAAATAATAAGGGTCTATATTAGGCACTAGGGGAGGATGCAACACTAAATAGAACATGGTGCTTTCTCACAGAATTAATAATCTAATGGTAGTTTTTAGAGAACCTATATCGTTCAAGTCTGTATCATACAACTGTTCAAGAATAAGGATAATTTCATTGCCCCTAATTTAATGAGCTCCTATGCTCTGTCAAGCACTGTGCCAGATGCTGGGAGAACCAAGGGATGCATTTCCTTCCCTGCCATGGGGTATGCTCAGTCTAGAAGGCGGACTAGACGAGTGAGGCATTCATGACGGATCCGTTGTGCCGTCTTCATACCTCTGCTGCCCTATCCCTGTCGTCCTCCTCACAAGATTGCGAGAGGCTGCATCTTATGCATCTTTGTGTTTCCAGACCTGACCCAGTGTCTGACACTTGGGTGTTTACTGCTTGGGGTTTTCCCAGCATTTGTTGTGTATGCCTGTTCATACTGCTGCCATTAGTCACATTTGCAGTATACATTTGCTTTTGTTTTGTTTTTAATATTAGAATCGAGAGAACAGTAAATGATTTTTTTAAATAACCCAATCTCTATCAATGATGAGCTAATGTACAAGAGGCCAAGAGAGTCCTGTGTTTCTACAAAAAGTATAGTGAGGACATTTCTTTGTGGAAGTGAAGAATATTTCTTCTGTTTTCTTATGGTAAAGAAATAGTTCTTTATACTGATGCCATTCACGCCCAAATATGGGAAAATAAAAAATTGACAGAGTAATTAAGCCAAGTGTTTAGTGGAGAATGGGTGCTAGTGTGTGTCCAAACTCACTCATGTTGTCTGCCTAGCCCTTGTAAGAATGTGAGTTTGCAATCCTGGAGCTAATTCTTTGAGGTCAGCGACTGGTTTTTACTCATAGATATAGATGGAGCTCCTATACCTGGCCTACTGCCTCTTACAGAGTGCCCAGGTGATTATTGAAACAGTGAAACTGGAGTAGCTTTGAGGGCAAAGAAGAGAGCTACTCACCACCAAGAGGAACTGGAGAAATTGCTGAAGAGTTGAGTGTCTTCAACAATAAAGTGAGAAGGACATTTAGCTTGAAAGAGTAACCCATGTTAATGAATAAGGGCCTAGTGTGCCCAGGGAGCATCTTTGGGGGCTGGGAATGAGAGGGAGGGGCCAGGTTAGGGGAACAGAGAGGACTCAGTTGTGGGAAACTACACTGGAATTGAAGGGCTTTGCTATTTCATGCTAATATTTCATTTTCCTCTTTGGATACTGGGGGTCTGTGAAAGAAAGGGTTTTAAGTAGGTGTGTGGCATGATTGGAGTTGTGTTTTGGGAAGAAAATACTGTTAACAATGTTAAGAGATGGATTAGAGCAAAGACTTTTAAGTCTCATGGCTTGTGATTTTTTAATATGTCCAGGTGAGGGTATCAAATTGAGTTTCATAACCCAGGTGAGGGGACAGGCAGACAGTCTGGGACTCACTTCATTTTCTTAATTCTAGCCATGGAGGCTTGTGATTATACAAGGAAAGACTGGAGCAAGAAGAAAAGACTATAAGGGAGCCTTAGCGAGGGTATAAGAGTGGTAGAAGAAACATAGGGAGACCAGCATGAAACAATGTTTAAGATAAATGAGGAAGGAATATGAGGAAAGTAGGGGGCAGGAGTGAAAGGGTTGTCAAGTGCTGTGGTGATATATGGACAAAGTTTGAAATGAAGCTTTTGCACTTAACCACGACACATTATAATGTGGATTGCTTTTGGTTTTCTTTCCTTAGATTTTAAGTAATTCATGGGAAGAATCATAGGACCAACTTTACATTTTCTCACAATGCCTGACAATTAATTAGTAGATGCTAAACCACCTTTTTGCAATAGTTTTGGGATAGTTGACAAGGATTAAATTTAAAGAATGTTATATACAGTGCAAATTATTTCAGACATGATGCACATTTAGAAGGCAATTGTGTATCTGTATCTAGGATCATGCTTTTATACTAAAGTAAAATTAATCAGTGTTACATCAAATACATATTAGCCATTGGTATTTTTAAATGGAGTGTTATACTATAGTGATTTTTTTTTATTTGTTTGCATAGCCTGGCACCTGTGTTTGCTCTGTTTGTACCATTTTACTGCTCCATACCGAGAGTCCAAGTGGCACATATTCTGGGCCCGTTGTCCATCACAAACAAGACATTGATTTATATATTGGGACTGCAGGTATAGTATGCATTTTTATGTTCACATTTCTTTAACCGGATCTTTTTTTCTTTTTTTTTTTTCTTTTCTTTTTTTGGTCTTTTTCTCATTTGATCTCCTTGAAAACAATGTTTTTTCCCATAAGTTTGGCTTTATGATCTATATCAAATGTTCAAAGGAAGTGTTACAGAATGAGAACATCAAGGTATATAAGGTACTAGAATACTTTCATAGCTTTTAGAATCTGATAAGAGCTTTCACTGTAATTCGTATCAGTGGAAAATATTTTAATTGTACAGTTGCGTATAAGTATTTTCTCAAAATCATAGTATGAAGTGGAAACAAATGAGAAGAGTCAAAAGATGGAAAGTGGAAAATCACGGTCAAAATTAATTTATTGAATATGGTGTTACAAATAAAGCTCTGAAGAAGAAACCAGATATACTTCACCAACTCAAGCTTTGGGCTTTGCTATGTCAGCTTTACAACTTCTATGTCACATAGGCATGACAGCAATGCCACCACCTGCTAAATGGTTTGAAATTAAGACCATTAGGGTACTTATTATTTGACTTAAATTGAAAAAAGTTATTATTACCAATATTCACAAAATATTGATTACTCTCTTCTGGGCTCCAGGCCCATTGATACCTATGATTTTCAGTTTTCTACCTGTAATACTAGTACTTGTCACTTTTCTTGCACTCACAGCTTTTGATATAAAACTTTTATTATGCTATTTTCTGTGGTACCATGTGTAGCTTGGCCTTTTGATCCACTGTTAATACTCATAACATTCCTTTTCCCACATATATCAAACCAGATAGTAGTGTCTCTGTAAAATGCCCTCCTCCCTCCCCTTTTAACCTTTAGCATTTCCTCTAACTTCTCTAGTCTGCTCTCATGTGTTATCAATGGCTCATCTGGGGTGGGTGTTCTTTTGATCACTTTTACAACCGTTTCTCATGAAATGTGTTTATTCCTCATCTCTCAACCTGCATAGTGTTACAGTCTCCCTATCATTCCTAATGTTCATATAACGTAATAGCTTATTTCTGCAGTTACTAGGATTTGCTGTGACATGTTTTGGGGTGGTTTTTTTTCCTTTTTTACGATGTTACATCAGAAGGCAGAAAGCAGTGGTAGAAAAGAGCTCTGGGCCTGGGGCAGGAAACCCAAGTTCTAGTTCTAATGTGTCACTCACTAGCCTGTGACTTGGGTCAAGTCATAGAAGTCTTCTGAGCCTCATGTTGACTCTATAGTTCCTTCCAACTCTAATGTTATAGACCTTCTTTGAGGGTGAAAAACACTGTTTTATTAATTATGGAGTAGAAATTCAATGGAGCATTGTGTAAAGTCTTTGGAGCCAAAGTGACTTGGTTTAATTACTTGCTCTGATAATTATTTGCTTTGTCTATCACCTTTTCTGAGCCCCCATTTTCCCACATGTAAACTGGGGATAATATCTACCTTACCGGGTCATTTGAAAGATTAGAGATCATAGTATTGAGTGTTTAGGGTAATCTGAACAGATAATAAGAACTAAGTCCATTGGTTCTTACTAATTAATAATTTATGTCTCTCTAGCTACCACCTTTAGTGTTCTGAAATTATTTTGTGGTTTTTTTGTTTTGTTTTGGTGAGGTAGAAGTTGGTATCAGAAAGTAGAGGTGGAGATGCCTTAGTGACTTTTTGATAAACTCTAAAGTCCTTAACATGAATGTTATCAGGGTTCTTCTTGCCTATCCAGTATCTGCTCCCACCCCTCCCTGGAAGTGAGTATCAACCCCTTCTTCTCAAAGTTCTTATTTCCTCTCTCCCTCACCCCCCTCTAAAACTTTGCACATGTTTCTGTTCCTTTCTGTCTTCCACACCACAGCTTCTTGAAGCCACAGACATTTGATGAATGAATGACTTTAATCATTATCAGAAGAAGAAAAATGTTTGTGAAGAGTTATTTAAATATCAAATGGCTTGGGAGGCAGTCATGTAATGCCGTATGCTAGGGGTGGGGAGGATGAAATGAAGTGAGTTGTGATAACCTGTAGTTAAGGAGTCAGAAAACATACACACTGTCAAAACATGCAGAGACCCAGTTGGGACTAAAAATGCAATAAAATGAGGGGTTTAAGAGTCCAAAGGAAATAATTTTTTATTAACAGAATTAATGATACATTCATCTTTCTCGTGTATGAGCCATAGTACAATGGAGCCGTCATAAGCACAGGGCTGTTGAGCCAGACCACTGGGGTATATACTCACAGCTCCACCACCCATCAGCTCTTTGACCTTGAGCAAATTACTTAACCTTTCCGTTTTCTCATAGGTAATATAGAGTTAATAATAGAACTTACCACTCAGGGTGATTAGGAGGATTCAGTAAGTTTAATGTATGAAAAGCATTAAGATCACAACTTGGCACAGAAGTGCTATGAAAGTGTTAACTATTTTATTATTCTTTATATTTTTAGAAGAAAGCTACAGAAAAATATTTTCTTTTAAATAGAATAATTCTCATCCTTATTACTACCAGTCATTTAAACTGAAAAATGATTCGTGGTAGATCAAAGGATTAAATTTTAGATCAAGGGACTAAATTTAAAGTAGCAACCAACATTCATTTCTGCTTAAGCTAGCAAGCGCAGAGCGTGTCAGCGGCCTTTGACTTGTGCTTTGTCATTGTTTACCTTTGTGTCTGTCTTCTTTCTATGTATATTTTTTTTCCATGTACCTTGGTATAAATGTGTAGAACTTTGAGGTTTCCATCCAGCACAGTGTCAGCAATGAACCTGGGTATCCTGCTTTTTCTGTCTGAGCAGAAGTACCTAAATTCCTGATCTAAAGATCTAAATGTGAACAAACACTAGATTACAAATCTTTACTTTCTTGCAGGAATCCTTTTAAATGTCTTATGACTTTTTTTTTTTAACCCTGAGCACAACATTTGGATGTAAATGATTTAGAAAGCAAAGGGGGAGAGATTTCATGAGGCTTAATTCTAATTACTTTTGTCATTAATTAACTTTGATATCACTACTTAGCTTGCTGTTCCTTGGAGGAACTGGGATGAGAATATCAACAGTTACACAGAGTAGCACTGAACATGGACCTATATACTTGAGATCTTCCCATCTAAATTTAGAGTAGTTGTGATAAGAAATTAAAATGAGAAAATTATTGAGCTAATATTGCATATCATTTAACATCAAGCATTGGATGGTGACTACATATTTTTATATTGTTAATTCTAATAATTCCTTTATATGTGGTATTTTACTTAACTAATCTACATTTGTAAATGAGAATATGCATGAATTTTACTTATTTTTCTTTGCATGGGAGTGGTCCAGGTTCAACCAATGCATTTTAGCTATGAAGAGTGGAGGTCTTGGTTAAAAAAGAGAAAAGTTAATATATATTATTTTCTTTTAAATAATGGAATTGATATTTATTAATTTTCTATTTGTTTATATTATGATATATGTCTTAACATAAATGGTTATGATTATAGTTATGTAAACATTAGTATGCTGTGACTGGCAGTTGAATTTAATTTTTAGTTGCCTTTTTTTTCTTTTATAGCTTTTCACCTCTGGTTCCTACATCTGGATTGTAGCCATAAGTGGACTTGTAAGTGTGATTCCCACCCCTCCCTATTCCCTCTCTTTTCTGAATAAACTTTAGGGAAAATGTCATATTTAGATTATTGGTCATATTCAGTTTTCTCCAACATTTTTTAACCATATTGGGTTCTGTCTCAATGCTACTTCCTTAGTGATAAAAAAAAAAAGAAAAGGCTGATTACATGGACAATTGAGGTGAAGGAAGCCTATTTGTCTTAGTTTTCAAAGTAACTTTGATGCAAGTTTTAGCCGAGTTTATTGTCAGTGTTATTTTAAAATTACATTAGTAGTTGAACTCATAGTAGGAAAGAAATGACAGAAAAAGAAAATGAAGAAGTTGGGTTTACTAAAAATAATAAGAGGTATTTGTCTTGTTTTGTTAAGAGACTTTGTCATGCAAAGGAAAAAAACAAGGCCAAGTGGAAAGTCAGGTGGATTGGAACTGACAAAAGAGTCATTGGGGTGTGCGTCCAGAGAGGGCGAAGTGAATGAGCCTGAGGATTGGGGTGGTGTCCTCATTCTTTGTGCTAGAATGTCTTCACCTCGTCCATCCCCATGCTGCATTTGTCTTAAGCTCTACTTATGAGGTATTTAAAGAGACATCTAGAACATGAAATTCAACTTTACTTTTCATCCATGACTTAAATTTGAGCCCTCAAATTTATATAAATATAAGTTTATAGCTATATGGAATATAGTTTTAATTTCTTTCTTGGAAACATCAAATAAAATTACAAAATGGATTCATACTAATATATAGACATCAAAGAGACCTTTGGAAATAACTATGCAGTCTACTATATACGTTTTCATTTTAAGTGATTTATCACTATACCGGTTTTCCGATGAATGGTATTTTGGGCTATGTGTCATTATTTTAAGCCTGCTCACTTCTCTCCTTCCTTTATGCTCTGTGTATTATTCCTTTGTGTTTGTTCTTTTTATATACAACTTAATCCTTCATTCCCCACAGTTTCGAGGCAAATTCTGGGTATTGAAGTCACTTTGTTTCCCTCTCCATAAGATACCAAATACCTGATTTGCTTTAGGACCACAGCACTGAACTCCACTGTGAGGTCTTTGAACCATCTGAGCTACCTGGTATTCTTAAGATTTGTGGTGACTTAGAGACAGCCTGACATCAGAATGAGTCCATGGGCACAATTGCCAGGCTCTCCCTAGTCTAATGTCATTCCACTTGAACTACTAGTTTGATTGACAGCTACTTAACTAGCCTGTGAAAATAGCTCATTGCTTTCATCATTAAAGCAGCATGAGAATTTACTATTTCGTTCATGATACATTTTGTTTCTCTTCGTAGTGATGGTTTCACTCCTGTTTTGGATATTTTTCGAAAACATTCAAGAATTTGTGAAGTAACATATTGTATGCTATTTTATCATGTTAATTTACTATTGATTTGTTCTCATTATTCAAATACTTCTTTACTAACTCATTATGTGATCCAGTTTTAAGACATCTCATTGTCTTTCTTTAATTCTGTTTTCAGACTCCTGGTTTAAATTAAGAGCTAGCTGACACCTCAGATAGTTTAATTTTGTGACATTCAATACTCTAGAATTGGCAGTTGCATTTTTCATCTCTTTTAATCTTTTTAAAATCCAAAATACACATGTGAAGGCACAGGTTTTTTTTCAGTACACATGCTTAACAGGTAATAAGGTGCTATTTTAATTTTTTTAAGAATCACAAGTTCAACAAATTTTTAACATAAAATTCCCTTGTTTCAGAAGAATAAATAGAATTACACAGCATTTGGAATGTAATTTCCAGATAAATTTAGCATTTAAATAATCCCACTATTAATAAATACTTCTGAGCCAAATGAATCTTCACTTTTTACAGTAATTAATTCAGCCAATGTTATTGACCTCTCACCATGAACACAAATCTGTTAAATCTTCATATCAGCCTTGTTTATTATTATTCCACCATAATCAGATGATACTATGTTTATTTCAAATGATTAATATTAGTGAAAAAAAATCAGACCCAGTTTTTCTTCATGATGTACCATAATATCAGTGCTTGTTAAGAACTTAATGAATATTTCTGACTTTTTTTTTCAGGAAAATACATTTTATTATGAAATATTTAATATAATATGCTATACTTTAGATAAGTATAATTATAAAGGATATTAAAATTATTTGTGAATATTTGGTTTACACACCAATGATTTATAGGATCAAAGTCTAAGATTCACAAAGCCACAGCTTGTCCCAGATGTCTGTTGCTCAACATGACTTCTCCTCTCCCCATGTATATCAAGTGACTTCCCTTTTTTTGGTTTTAACTCTAAATAAAATACTAAAAATAAAATAAAATTCTTACTACCAAAAAGAAATGCACAGATGGTATTCAGTGTTTGGGGGGAATGTTAGAAAACCTGTTAATGGAATTTCTCCTTTTAGCATTATAGCCATTAATTCTCTTAACATACTGTTTGTGTTAAGGGAGTAATTTTATTTCAATCTGGCAATTATGTGTTTTTTTGAGAGAAAGCTTTTTTTTTTAAAAAAGACATTTGTGTAAAACATAAGTCATATGTTATCTGCTGTCATAGAAACCAAAAACTTTACTCATGTTTTCTGGAAAGCTGCCAGCTTTGAATTTAGCTTATTTTCTTTAGTTATTTGTGGATTACTTGGGTTAGGCTAGTTTTTCTTGCTCCTTGTGTCAGTTATTCTTAAAGAATCATAAATGTTTCTTAAATGATCATAAATGTTTCTGATCATAAATGTTTTCTTGCTCCCAGTTATTCTTAAATGATCGTAAATAACTTTAAAATGCCCCACTGATTAAAAGAGGAGGAGGTTGATAAATTGCATCAGTGTCATATTTTACTAGGTGTGATCCAACACTCTGTCTTCAGTGGTATCACAGAAAGAAATAAGGACTAACATTTTTTCCTGGGTTGAGAGAGGAAAATAGTGGTTAACTTACCGGGAGCGGTAATAAATTAGTTTGCCTAGGACAGCTTGTCACTCCAGCAAAGATTCCAGCTGCTACCTTTCCTTTATAGGAAAGGTAAGGGCATTCAGTTTTGCTTAGAGATTACTTTGAGATTATTCACATGTATCACTAATAACATGTTTTTATGTTACATTGTTTTTATGTTGCACTCATTGGCAATTCTGGTTTTTAATACCAACATTTAATATTTAAAGTACTACTGTTTTCATGAAACGTTGCAAAATTGTGATTGGAAAGCTTGGCTGTAGCAGCCAAGTGAAATATTTCCATTTAAGCAAGAAATTTAAAAACGTTAGTATACACCTACTTTCCTCATATTCTCACCATGATGTTTAACTGTTCTTAATGTCTTTGGTGAGAGACCTTCAAAAATATAGGTGCTCCTTTATATATATTTTATTGTCACTAATCTTGTTACACATTAATACATTTTTCCTTTGAGAAAATATTTCTTACTTATTGAATTTTATAAATAAGTTCTGTTTGTGGTTCTGCAGTGAGACTGTCTGCACTGTGTCTGCACTTCTTCATTTTCTACCATTTTTATGAATCATAATAGTGAGTCATTGCCACTGGGATGTACCCTAATTCTCAAAAACTGAAGTCTGAGCTGATTTTGGCATGATTAAAACAGAAAGGGCCTGCTTCTGCAGATTTTCTTTTCTTACAATTCACATATTTCTCATCATTCGGTTTTCTTTCAAGATATTTGAGTGAATTAACAAACAGGCCTATATTTCTCAGACTCCAGGCTTCTCCCCTTCAATGTATCTCTTTACGTTCTGCCCGTTTCCTGTGTTTGTACCTGTTTTGTACAATATTTTAGACTTTTATTTCTTGTGATTAAGCACCCTTGGTGTGAAAAAAAATCTGTCCTACCAAATAAAATTAGAAACATAGATTGATACCAGATTACCTAGAGGACTTTGAATGTGGTCTGAATTTGTATTTTCTTCTGTAGGTAGTGGGGATCTTTCAAGCTTTACAAACAAAAAACTTTGTGATGGTGCAAGATTATAGAAGTCTTACTAAAGTCTGTAATCAGAGAAGGAGAAGGGGAAAATGAGCAATTTTGAAGGAGTCAGAATGGCTCATTTGTAGGCAGTGATTTGCTTTTCTCTCTACTCCCCCCACCACCACCCCCCACCCCCACACACAGTAGTTTTACAGACAACAAAATAAAACATTGTCCTGTGGTGTCTGTCAAAGAAAAAGCACCGAACAGAACCTTATGTTGATTGGCTTTCCAAGTCAAGGTATCACATTAAGGACCAGCATAATCTGTGGAAATCTGAACTACTTTGGAGTAAGTTTTGGAGCTCCCTTGGTGAATGAGAATGGGATGTTAGGTCCTCTGTGCCTTCCCTTGCTTTTCATGTCTTTCTCTTCTCTTCATGCTTCTTTTTCTTCTGTTACTTATCCTTTCTTCCCTTATATTTCTTCTCCAGGTTGACCAAAGAAGGATACAGTGTAGAAGGTCAGATAACACATCTGATGCCCAGGGGTTTCAGTTGAATTTTAAGGATTGAGATTATTTCTAGCAGTTCATTGAAAATGAGGACAAACGCTGCAGAAGGAAGTCAAGGCTGTTTAGAGTTGTGAGGTTGGTTGAGCTTGTGAAGCTATTAGAAGACATTCATATTTAGAGATTACTTTCACCTTCTTATAACTAAAATAGTATATATAAAGCCAACACTGAATCAAGTACTTATCAGTACATTGTACCTCCTCCCTAACATTGATTCACTCATACTTTCTGTCTATCCCCCGCCTTTCCTTCTTCTCCAAGTCCCCTTTCCCTATCCTGAACTCAGGTAGCCGGGCCTACTGAGAGAAACCTGTCCTCTGCCTTATCAAGGCAATTGCAACCCAATCCAGGGCTGACAAGAAATGTTTTATTAGACAGGGATTACAAAGGAAGGGAGTGACTAGTAGACTTTGTTTTTAAATGTTTAATGAAAACAAATGAAGTTACACCAATGTCTTGATAAAACTGGCACAGAAGTGCCC